GGACCACACATTTTTACAGGACCACATAACAGGACCACACAACAGGACCACACATTTTTACAGGACCACATAACAGGACCACACAACAGGACCACACATTTTTACAGGACCACATAACAGGACCACACAACAGGACCACACATTTTTACAGGACCACATAACAGGACCACACAACAGGACCACACAACAGGACCACACAACAGGACCACACAACAGGACCACACAACAGGACCACACATTTTTACAGGACCACACAACAGGACCACACATTTTTACAGGACCACACAACAGGACCACTCATTTTTACAGGACCAGCACATATTTTATTGTATTTTGCGATGCAGAAGAATTTCATACCATATTCCCATTAGGACCTCAATTTTACACAAATCTCACATTTTTACACAAATCTATCATTTTTACACAAATCTAAAAATTTAACATTTTTACACAAATCTAACATTTTTACACAAATCTTACAATTTTACACAATTCTCACAATTTTACACAAATCTCACATTTTTACACAAATCTCACAATTTTACACAAATCTCACAATTTTACACTAATCTCACATTGTATGTATTTTGATGGATCTTCTTTCTCTGAGTTTTTAACAGAATGACAAGAATGCTAGACAAACAAATTGATTAAAAAAACAGGGGCTAGTTAAAAGGAAACCAAATGGATTCGAATTTACGTTGGGGTGATGGTGTCGTGTTTGTGGTAGAATGTTGGTGATGGTGTCGTGTTTGTGGTGGTAGCATGTTGGTGATGGTGTCGTCTTTGTGGTAGAATGTTGGTGATGGTGTCATCTTTGTGGTGGTAAGCATGTTGGTGATGGTGTCGTGTTTGTGGTAGAATGTTTGTGATGGTGTCGTTTTTGTGGTGGTAGCATGTTGGTGATGGTGTCGTCTTTGTGGTAGAATGTTGGTGATGGTGTCGTTTTTGTGGTGGTAGCATGTTGGTGATGGTGCCGTCTTTGTGGTAGAATGTTGGTGATGGTGTCGTGGTTGGTATGATAATGCTGTTATGCTGTTGCTGGTGGTAATACCATAACTTAGTCTAAATCAATACGACCGGCTTTGTTGAAAAAAGTTTTCAAGTTTTGTCGTTTTGCTCACCAACATAGAAAAGATTCAGAATAACGCCACACACGGGTAGGTTAAAAAAACATTAGTTCGGTTTCTCAATGAACACAGTTCACAAACATTAGTTCAGTTTCTCAATGAACACAGTTCACAAACATTAGTTCAGTTTCTCAATGAACACAGTTCACAAACATTAGTTCAGTTTCTCAATGAACACAGTTCACAAACATTAGTTCAGTTTCTCAATGAACACAGTTCAAAAACATTAGTTTAGTTTCTCAATGAACACAGTTCACAAACATTAGTTCAGTTTCTCAATGAACACAGTTCAAAAACATTAGTTTAGTTTCTCAATGAACACAGTTCACAAACATTAGTTCAGTTTCTCAATGAACACAGTTCACAAACATTAGTTCAGTGTTTCTCAATGAACACAGTTCACAAACATTAGTTAGTTTCTCAATGAACACAGTTCACAAACATTAGTTCAGTTTCTCAATGAACACAGTTCACAAACATTAGTTCAGTGTTTCTCAATGAACACAGTTCACAAAAATTAGTTTGTTTCTCAATGAACACAGTTCACAAACATTAGTTCAGTTTCTCAATGAACACAGTTCACAAACATTAGTTCAGTTTCTCAATGAACACAGTTCAAAAACATTAGTTTAGTTTCTCAATGAACACAGTTCACAAACATTAGTTCAGTTTCTCAATGAACACAGTTCAAAAACATTAGTTTAGTTTCTCAATGAACACAGTTCACAAACATTAGTTCAGTTTCTCAATGAACACAGTTCACAAACATTAGTTCAGTTTCTCAATGAACACAGTTCACAAACATTAGTTCAGTTTCTCAATGAACACAGTTCAAAAACATTAGTTTAGTTTCTCAATGAACACAGTTCACAAACATTAGTTCAGTTTCTCAATGAACACAGTTCACAAACATTAGTTCAGTTTCTCAATGAACACAGTTCACAAACATTAGTTCAGTTTCTCAATGAACACAGTTCACAAACATTAGTTCAGTGTTTCTCAATGAGCACAGTTCACAAACATTAGTTCAGTTTCTCAATGAACACAGTTCACAAACATTAGTTCAGTTTCTCAATGAACACAGTTCACAAACATTAGTTCAGTTTCTCAATGAACACAGTTCAAAAACATTAGTTAGTTTCTCAATGAACACAGTTCACAAACATTAGTTCAGTTTCTCAATGAACACAGTTCACAAACATTAGTTCAGTTTCTCAATGAACACAGTTCACAAAAATTAGTTTGTTTCTCAATGAACACAGTTCACAAACATTAGTTCAGTTTCTCAATGAACACAGTTCACAAACATTAGTTCAGTGTTTCTCAATGAACACAGTTCACAAACATTAGTTAGTTTCTCAATGAACACAGTTCACAAACATTAGTTCAGTGTTTCTCAATGAACACAGTTCACAAACATTAGTTAGTTTCTCAATGAACACAGTTCACAAACATTAGTTCAGTTTCTCAATGAACACAGTTCACAAACATTAGTTTAGTTTCTCAATGAACACAGTTCACAAACATTAGTTCAGTTTCTCAATGAACACAGTTCACAAACATTAGTTCAGTGTTTCTCAATGAACACAGTTCACAAAAATTAGTTTGTTTCTCAATGAACACAGTTCACAAACATTAGTTTAGTTTCTCAATGAACACAGTTCACAAACATTAGTTCAGTTTCTCAATGAACACAGTTCAAAAACATTAGTTTTTTTTCTCAATGAACACAGTTCACAAACATTAGTTCAGTTTCTCAATGAACACAGTTCAAAAACATTAGTTTAGTTTCTCAATGAACATAGTTCACAAACATTAGTTCAGTTTCTCAATGAACACAGTTCACAAACATTAGTTCAGTTTCTCAATGAACACAGTTCACAAACATTAGTTCAGTTTCTTGGTTCATTTTTATAAAATAATCTTCAAGCCGGCAGAGATGATAACACCAAAACATCAGCAACCACACAACCACCATCTACACCATAAACACCAGCAACCACCATCTACACCATAAACACCAACAACCACACAACCACCATCTACACCATAAACACCAACAACCACACAATCGACATCTACACCATAAACACCAGCCACCCCAACACAATTTGATCCAGTTGGTTAAACTGTTTTACCTGGCGAGATTAGCCACCTGCCAACCATTTCAATTGGGATATTTAACATGGTCAAATGAACTGGTATAAATCGTGGCTATTAACCTTTGAACCTATTAGAATAATTTCAGTAAAATACCTATCTGTGATCCGGACTTTTTTTTGTTCACGTGAAAAAAACACATCTATAAACAGCCTACATATTAGCCTTGCCACCAATTCAATTAATTAATTTTGAATTTAAACAATTCGTATAAATGCCTTTACTAATGAGTTCGTTGACTATCGAGCATATGATTCAATTTAAACTATTCAAACTTTTATTTTCTTTGACCGTGAGATTAGCCTGATCCCTAATTGAAAGGATTACACAATCACTTCACAAATAAAAGAACTAATCCAAGCAGGAGATTAAGGTGCTAAGAGAACCTACCATTTCCCGCATCTAGATCCCTTTCAAAACGATATTGTGAAGAAAAAAAAAGAGAATAGATAAATAATAATTTTCTGCTCGCCAATAGCCGGCCCGCACAGTACGCGGGGCGAACGGCCTAGAGATAGCCGCGCGACAACTCAACGTTTGGTGGGGCGCTTAGCTTTCGTGCGCCTCGCTATGGATGCTGGGGGTGGGGGTACGGATCGGGTGGGGGGGGGGGAGCTAGATTAAAACGACCGTTTGACCAGTGTTGGAGTTGTGTGAAGGTATTTGCTGGTGTGTTGATCGTGAGTTGTGTTCAAATGTTGTGGTCATGTTTTGTTGCGTGCAGGCGGGGGAGGGGGGGGGGGGCTGTTTATAGGGGTAGGGTGGGGTGGGGTGTTGTTTATAGAACTTGTAAGTTTATCGTTCTTTCTCGCGTTAATTCGTGTCTGGTTAGCCAGGGAGAGATAAAAGTTTTCGAACTAAATCAATTGTTGTGAACGGGGTTTCCCATTGATAACAAAAAACTTGGCGGCTATTTGTTAGTAGGTCCCGCTTCAAGATTTCAAAATCATCAAACGTTCCAGAAATGCAACAACTGTAAAAACTTTCAACGCTGTTTTGTTCATATGGATGGGAACAAACACATGTGTATGCATTTTTGAATATAATAGTTTTGTGTCGGTAAGTATATTGATTTTATTTCTTTTGTTGATAGTTTGTCCAAGGCTAGGGGACATTACTCTGACTCTACTCAGTCTTTGCTACGAGACTTAAGATTCCCAGACCTAGATCTAGATCTAGATTCTAGAATCTACCAACTAAGATCTACATTGCTTTAATCTAGTTCTAAGAGTATAAGTTCATGAATTAGAATATATTAGATCTAGATCTAGATTCTAAATCTAGTATTTTAGTGATCTAGATAAAATATTAAAAATATTAAGAAAAGGATGACGGTAAAAACTAAAACAACAGGAAAATGAGGATGACTTCCAGTCTCACTCAGCCTACGAGTTACGACTTACTTATTAATCGAATCTAGATCTAGATCTAGATATTAGATCTAGATATCTAGAACTTAGACAACAATGTTAATGTTAATAGACCTAGATCTAGATCTAGCTAGATTACTGAACTAGACTCTAGTACTGATTACTCAGTGATTACTGTTTAATATTTTAGAAGTAGGCCTATTAATTAGTTATTAGAAGTAGCATGTAGATAGAATAGATGGCTAGATAGATACTATTACTAGATCGATATAGAGATAGTAGAATAGATCTAGATCTAGATTCTAGTTGCAGATGGATGGTAGTATGGTTGGTAGGCCCTAGATCTAAAATCTAGATCTAGAGAATCTAGTAGATCTAGATAGATTCTAGATCTAGATTAGATCTAGTTTAGGTAAAACCTACCCTAGTTAAGTTTAGTAAGAGCTAGTAATGCCTAGTAAGGCTAACCTGTTTTTGATTTTAAATCAATTTTTTTATATCTAGAATCTAGACTAATTTACTAGATCTAGATCAGTAGCCAGTAGAGTGATTAGAGTAGTAGTAGAGTGTAGTGTAGAGTACTGTAGACTATTGTAGAGTGTAGGTACTAATAACTAGACTGAAACTAAATTAGACTAGAATCTAGGTCTAGATACATTTAGGGCATACAGACTTATCAGACTACAGTGTTGCAATAAGTAGATCTAGTAATATATAGTATATAGATTAAATTTAGTTTGAAATTGTTACAGTAGTGCTACTACTTTTCTAAGTAGTAAGTAGTGTAGACTACTAGAAGAGCAAGATGATAGATCTCCATCAAGCTACAATAGAGTTTAGTTAGTAGTTAGTTAGCCGTAGTAATAGTACCAAAAGCAGTGTAAGTAGCACAGTAAAAAAAAAGTATTACTAGGCCATCTACTATTGTATTAGGCACTTTTATTTTTAGCAAGTTAAAGTTTGGTTAAGTACTAGTCTTCTAGCAAGTTGCCTAGTAGTAAACTTATAAACTAGATCATGTGTATTAGTACTATTAGACTTGTAGGCTAGTCTTGTTAGTCTAGACCAGGGACTATAAAATCTACAATTGATAACTTTCGGCCTTTTAGTATAAGCCTAATTATTAATGAATTACAGGGTACAAAAATTAATAAATTGGTCAGAGTCAGTATGGTTACAGTTAGCTGTTAATAGAATTAAGTTTTAGATCTATTGACTACAATTTTTAGTTACAAGTAATGAAAATGAAACTAATAGTTTTGTAATAGTTAAGCTATGGTTAACTGTAAACCAGATATTTTAGTTTTTAAGACAAGCTAAGTAGATAGAAAACTGAACCTTTACAATAAATTAAACCTTTTATAAATATATATATATATATATATATATATATATATATATATATATATATATATATATATATATATATATATATATATATATATATATATATATATATATATATATATATATATATATATATATATATATATATATATATTAATATCTCATATTAGTTAAATAATTATTTTAATATAATATATGGATAAACTTAATAATTTATTATATTTAAATTCTCTAGGTACTTGGCAAGCAATTTTCTCACACTTTACTGTGGCTATTTGTGCTGATCTTGAGCTAAAGGTGAGCTGAATTTTTTTATAATAAGCCATTTTTCAGCTTAAGCCCAAGTTTGAAATCGATTCAGTGTTCTAATTCTTAAAGAATATGTTGCTACTAAGATTATATACTGCAAGTATTAATATGTATGGCTTGATAGTGGGACTGTCAGACAGTAGCTTTCACATTTCTATCCTAAAAGATAAGAGTTCAGATCCCTGGTTTTAGTCCTGGTATGATGTCCTAAGTCTCATGAGTACCAGCTCTCATGAGTACCTGGCTCAAGATAGGGAAATTAAAGGTGGCTGGGTATATACCTCTGAACACTCTAATTTTACATGCAAATGTCACAGAAACAGGTGAATTTTAATTCAACTGCTATATTGGCTGTCTGTTTTAATCAATGATTAATTTTTTCATATTACAGAAAGTTGTTAAAAATATTATTTATTTAATTTCTAGGTAAATGGAACAGCATGGATGTGGATTTTTAGACACAAGGAAGCTGAATTTAACTTTTAATGAAGAATTTAAATGATGATTGTCCATGAAAAGAAATATTAATCATATACATTGTAATGCTGTATTGATGCATCTTCTGTTTTAATTAATTAAAAAACCATCCATTTATGAAATTCTTTTCATTTTTTTTTTCAATTTTAAAACTAGTTCTGTTTTGTTATTTGAAAACAATGATGAAAGTATACTGAACTGCCATTGAGATATTAATATAAATGCTATTGTTTATAGTTTAATTCTTTCAGAAGCAACTATATTGACATCAAAACTGAATCTTTATTGTACACTAAGTATAAAAGCTTACCCGCAAACCAGTCCATGTCAACAATTTATTGACATTCAAACATTAAATTTTTTTAAAGGTGATTTTTCTTAAATAAAACAGACTACTTTCATATGGGATAAGAAACATTTAATTTTGAAATTGATTGGTTTATTAAATTTTAATGGAGCTGAAACTAAAACACTGGGTACAAATTTATTATTACTTTGTTTCTCAGAAAATTGCAAATTTTGAACATAAGAACTGTGGGAAGTAGGCAATGATGTTAAAATATCTCTTGAAACTTGAAGAAATTGTGGAAGGTTTAGAGATAGAAAACAACATTTCAGAAGATGATGTTTGAAATAATGGTAAAATATCTTTAGCAATTGTCACTGAATAAATATTTTCATTAGACAAATCACATTTAGATATAGAAGAATAAGGTATGTCTTCAGATTTTCTTATCAGCGAAGATCCTGGTTGATTCTCTTTGTTACCATCGATCAAACGACAAGCCAATTCTGGAAAATTCATTGGGTTCTTTGCCTGGGCAGTTAAATATATTTAAATTAAGTTCATGCAAGGCTTTAGAAACATCAATTGGATAAAACTCTATAATTTCATTAACTTTTTATTAATATCAGCTCCAAAGGAATAATATAAACAAGTTACACATCATCAATAAATCAAATTTGCAGATATTTCCATTTCACCAAACTTTCTCTAAGTCATAATATATATTTTAAATTCATGGCATTTTGTTAGGCTAGATATGTTGACTTTTATTTACCACAATAATCTGATTATATAAATTAGGATTACCCAGCTATCATACATTCTTCTTTTATGAGATGGAGGTAAAAATCATCATAAAATGTGTGATGCAATTTACAGATGAACCCTCTCTCTCTCTCTATCCCTCCCCCTATATATATATGTATATCTACATAATCTCTAAAATCATGTTGGTACCTCTACCTGTTTGAATGTTAGGCCCCTTTCCTTCAACTGTTTCTGTGTGGATCTTCTCCGGTCCATGGGGGTCATCTATAAATGACATCACGCATTTTTTTTTTTGACGATTTTTACCTCCCCCCTCCCCCTACACATCGTCACAAAAAGCCAGACCCCCACCCCCTAAAATGACGTCACACAGTACTAGATTCTAGATCTAAATTACTACAGTTGCCTACACTCTAGATTTAGTTCTTAAGTTCTACAACAAGACTACACTAAACTTCGCTAGATCTAGAATAATCTAGATTCTATATATAAATTGATATTGAACATATTCTACTAGATTTCTAGTCTACCTGTCTTAAAGTAAATAGCCTATTTAGTAATTTAGTAATTAGATGTATTATTATTATACAGGTTGTATTCTAGATCTATATAAAATATAATATAGTTGTGTGTGTGTGTTATTTTAAACTTAATTTACTTAAAACAACTTATTGTCGGAGTTTTTTTTATTCCAAAAACGAAAGTAGATTTCATAACTTAAAAAAAAAATAAATAAAAAATATTCACATTTGGTTTGAAAAAACAAAAAAACGCCAGCTGGCAACTACCGGAGCGAGAACTTGGTAAGCTACTTTAACAACTTACAAGCCCAATAGTGCTGATAGTTGTAAGCGCTGTGTTAATGTTCGTCTTGAGGTCCGCGCAGAAGCCAACGGTTAGGCAGCTCTTGATGGCGTCATACATCACGTGCTCGACATTGGACTGGCTATCTCTGGCTAACAGGTGGCTAACTTTTAGGCTGCTGTGTAGAACAGGATGTGTGGTTAAACTTTAGGCTAATTAACATCAGACGATTGGTGATTAATTATAATCTTTAACCACTTTTCCCTTGTAATTGACAGCCATCTCAAAGCAACAACTGGTCAACTTTAGGTCAGTTAATGATTTTGTTGCTGGTGGTGAACTAGGTTAGATCATTAGTTTAATGACAATGGCTAATTAAAAATCTAATTAACTTTCTTATCAAGGCCTTTTACTTCCTGACATTCCGTTCGCTTCAATATTTTAGTTTGTAACAACATAATATGACACACAACATACTTGTAACAAACATTCCGTTCGCTTCAATATTTTAGTTTCTAACAACATAATATGACACACAACATACTTGTAACAAACATTCCGTTCGCTTCAATATTTTAGTTTGTAACAACATAATATGACACACAGCATACTTGTAACAAACATTCCGTTCGCTTCAATATTTTAGTTTGTAACAACATAATATGACACACAACATACTTGTAACAAACATTCCGTTCGCTTCAATATTTTAGTTTGTAACAACATAATATGACACACAACATACTTGTAACAAACATTCCGTTCGCTTCAATATTTTAGTTTGTAACAACATAATATGACACACAACATACTTGTAACAAACATTCCATTCGCTTTAATATTTTAGTTTGTAACAACATAATATGACACACAACATACTTGTAACAAACATTGTTCGCTTCAATATTTTAGTTTGTAACAACATAATATGACACACAACATACTTGTAACAAACATTCCGTTCGCTTTAATATTTTAGTTTGTAACAACATAATATGACACACAACATACTTGTAACAAACATTCCGTTCGCTTCAATATTTTAGTTTGTAACAACATAATATGACACACAACATACTTGTAACAAACATTCCGTTCGCTTCAATATTTTAGTTTGTAACAACATAATATGACACACAACATACTTGTAACAAACATTCCGTTCGCTTTAATATTTTAGTTTGTAACAACATAATATGACACACAACATACTTGTAACAAACATTCCGTTCGCTTCAATATTTTAGTTTGTAACAACATAATATGACACACAACATACTTGTAACAAACATTCCGTTCGCTTCAATATTTTAGTTTCTAACAACATAATACGACACACAACATACCTGTAACAAACATTCCGTTCGCTTTAATATTTTAGTTTGTAACAACATAATATGACACACAACATACTTGTAACAAACATTCCGTTCGCTTCAATATTTTAGTTTGTAACAACATAATATGACACACAGCATACTTTAGGGTGACCAGAAAGATGCGAAAGGGAAAAATGCACAAATAGAAAAATGCACAAATAGATAAATGCGCAAATAGAAAAATGCACATATAGATAAATGCGCAAATAGAAAAATGCACATATAGAAAAATGCGATCACAGAAAATGACACAGATCTCACTGCAATTATGATATGAGTGTGACAATGTGTGTGTGTGTGTGTGTGTTTATGCTTGCTTGTTTTGGTTTGTCTGTGTATGTGTGTATACATAGACATATATTGTTGGGTTCTTCATTATAGGGGTATTCAACGACAATACAACGTGTAGTGTATGATAGAACAGTCTAGATAACACCAATGAGATTAGTAAATAATACTAAGAAGTTTATATATATATATATATATATATATATATATATATATATATATATATATATATATATATATATATATATATATCGTTTTGGGTACGTAAAATCGCCCGCGGCTATTAATGTACGAAAACGTTACCTCATTGTCAAGGCTTTAAAAGAAGTATATTGTAATATGTTTGTGTCAAATATTATAGATAAATGAATAATAAACCTAAATCAATGGCTAAATATATCAATATAGGCCAGAAATTAACTTTAAACAGCTGTGTCTGCAAGCAAGATTTACTATATAAACAGCAGCCATTTGTAAAATAGAGTGACTTCCGCCTGAATCTCGCGCTATAAGTCTATAAAAATAAAACTTTAACAAGATGGCTGCTATAGTAAATGAGCATGGTTGCATCTGTTGGAAACATCGCTAGTCTTCATTTATTACTGAAAAGTTTTTAATTCAATTGTTTAAAAACAGGTACATAAATGAAACAAGGAAACATTTTTGTATTTTTCAAAACATAAATCCTCCTCAAAATGTGAAATAATTATTAAAAATGTAAGGAGTCACCTGGTTTTCACACTACTAGTCGCGGCCGATTTTACGTACCTAAAACGATATATTACCATATATATATATATATATATATATATATATATATATATATATATATATATATATATATATATATAAGTGTGTGTGTGTGTATAATACTACAATAAAATAACAAAAGGTTTACGACACAAATCACGATATACTTAACACATTCCACGTCCTCTTCAAAAACTCACACACCAACTAACCGCTACACACCCTAACACACGCTCTGACACCCGTCACCTGACACACCTCACGTGAACACCTCTCACTCCATGTAAACACACTCAACCAAGGGCTACAACTATACACAAAAATCAGGGGACGCTACTTGTAACGGACGTAACATCTATATTATATTCTCATTTCAAAATATTTTAATTTAAAAAAAAAACAAAAAAAAAACGCCACCGCTCTTTTTAAAATACATAGACACATAAATTGTTAATATCTTCCGACCATACACACAAAGATGCTTTTACCCAAAGGTGTTTCGACCATCGATGTTTGGCCTACACGTAGTTTGACAACAGCGAAGGGTTGTCCACTGAAGGGTTGTCCACAGGCAGTTTGTCAACCCGGGCTGTGTAGACACAGATGATTTGACTAAATGTGGTTTGCACAACTACACCGACCATCGACCAAACGACCGAATAACGGACCGACCGACCCACCCACCTGTCTGACTGTCCGTGCGTCCGTTAGTCCACCCATCTCTCTCTCTCTATTTCTCTCTCTCACTCTCTCTCTCACACACACACACTCACGCACACAAAAACTCTCTTTCTCCGCAGTTTTAAAAATATGTGGGGGGGGGGGGGG